AATAAGGACATTACTATACGACAGTGGACACACGCCTTGACTTATAACACATAAAATAAGGACATTACTGTACCACAGTGGACACACGCCTTGACTTATAACACATAAAATAAGGACATTACTATACGACAGTGGACACACGCCTTGACTTATAACACATAAAATAAGGACATTACTGTACCACAGTGGACACACGCCTTGACTTATAACGCATAAAATAAGGACATTACTGCCCGAGAAGAATTGCCGATATAAAGTCTGTAAGCGAGTACATCTGAAAATTATTGACAATTTCAACATATCAAACAGTTTTACTTTCAAAGCTAAGAGAGAGAGAGAGAAAAGGTTTGGAACTTTTCCATATACTACGTGTATCTCAATAACCACAACATCAAGAAAAGCAATAAGTAGGTTAGGCAGGAGCGTAGCAGATATTAATATTTACAAAATTAGTTTCAATATTTGTAGTCATACTCAGCTTGATTGGTTTCGGTATCTGTAATCATGACTAGTCGACAACGCTTGCAACCATTGGTGTCTAAAAGAAAAATTTACAATTAAGTCGTGAACTTCCTCTGTTTCTGTTTTCACAGTTATAACTTAATATTACTGATAATCTTACATTTGTGTCTTTACATCTTAAAGTACGATGGATTAGCGTGTTTATAGGTTTTATGTAATAGATATGTTGTTTGATTGATTGTCATTACCATCCATTGGCACAATAACTTTAGGCCTTTTTAAACTTTAACTTGCACTTCAAAAACGGTTTCTAGGTAAATAGATAGACTTTAGTAGTATGTATGAAACAGTATAACAATGTGTAATCTGTAAGTGTGCATGCTCGTGCTTTCTTATAGCTATGGTGAGTATAAGTGCCAGTGAACACCTATTTTTGTGAAGTGCTTGCAAATGGTTAATACTTTCAACAAATTATAATATTAAATCTTAGAACAACTATTTTTCAAAATGTTCAGACCCTATTAACACTAGTGTGTTTTTTACACTATAATTAGTTGCCTGACCAATCCAATTTTTTTCCTCCTCTCCCCCGCCAGCTGTATGAGAGGTTTGAAAATGACTAATCACTCTGGAAGGTTTAGTTTATATGTATAGGACTATACATTTAAATCAAACAAATTGTATATCTTCCAACACAATATGAGGCCTGCTATTTTACTTTCTTCGCTCTTCCAACCAGCGCTAACGATCCGTAAATTCACGAAACTGGTCTGTTTCAACTGGAATAGTATATCGAAGAATAGATTAGGCCTATGCTTCATCTTCTCTGAAATGTGCGTTTTATTAAAGGAAACAAATTAACAAATAAGCTCTGGAAACCAGTAAAAAAAAAAAAAAAAAGGAGTGATTTTTAGGTTTTTATATTAAATAGAGAAGAGAAGCTTGTGTTTATTTCTATAATGAGTAAAGAAGAGGGACTTGTTTGTTTTTATATCCGGTATAAAAGAGGGACTTGTTTGTTTTTATATCGGTACAGAAGAGGGACTTGTTTGTTTTTGTTCATATAACGGGCTACAAAAAAAGTTGTTGTTTTTTATATGAGATAACCAAAAGAGAGCTTAGAGTTTGTTTTTATAACTTACATGGATCTTTAGTTTAATGAAGATTTTTTTATTGTGATCGAAATTACAACGGAATTAATTATTATGTCAGACCTTGCGGAAGCGGAATATCGCAAAAAGTACAGTTTACACGCTGTACAATATTCTTAGTGGAAGCTGTTTAAAGGGGAGTAAATAATTATGTAACAGTTTTTCCTGTTACATCTTATTATAATGTGATATCACGCATGTTAACTATTAAGTTCATGCATCATGGGTACCAAGTCTTAAGTCATGCAGCTGACTGAAGAAACTGCGTTTGCCGTTGTAAAACAGTTCCCATGTATTGTAAAAATGCGCTCTGAGCTTTAGGGCCATAGGTGCGCTAAAAGAGTGACAGTGAAATCCAACTATTTGGCCAAGAGTAACCCACGAGTTGGCTTTAGGTGCTGTTGACTAGCCTAGCTGCTTTCTCTCTAATCTATCAGTTCAAAATTTGGGCGGTCATATACAGATAGCTATTTGTATAACCTTGCGCAAAATTCTCAAACAAAACAGTTCGCTAATGAGATTTGCATTGAACAAAAGAACTCCAGTCTTCGCGGATAAATGCATTCTTAGTAAACTACTAATGCTTGATGAATATTTGTATTGAATCATTATTTCTAGTCGGAAAAAGTGACCTCTACGTCTGAAATAAATTGTTTAACTTGGATATAATCATATGTTCTAAAATCTAGGTTAAATGTGTTATAATTGTCCCAGTTTTGCACGCGATAATCTTATTAATCTTCCTATTTTCTACTATTTTAACTGTTAATCATTTTTATACTAAAACAGAGTTAAAAGAAATTCTGGAAGCCATTATTTCCTTACATATAATGTTTACCAACTTTTCATTGCATTGCCCGAATCACAGTGATAACAATGCAAGATAATGACCTGACTGCCCGAATCACAGTGATAACAATATAAGAGAATGACCTGATTGCCCTAATCACAGTGATAACAATGTAAGAGAATGACCTGATTGCTCGAATCACAGTGATAACAATGCAAGATAATGACCTGATTGCCCGAATCACAGTGATAACAATATAAGAGAATGACCTGATTGCCCTAATCACAGTGATAACAATGCAAGATAATGACCTGACTGCCCGAATCACAGTGATAACAATGCAAGATAATGACCTGACTGCCCTAATCACAGTGATAACAATGTAAGAGAATGACCTGATTGCCCTAATCACAGTGATAACAATGTAAGAGAATGACCTGATTGCTCGAATCACAGTGATAACAATGTAACATAATGACCTGATTGCTCAAAAGTACAGTAGAATTGTATTAATGGTTGTTGATATATATAATTTACTTAATAGAGTTTTTACAACTATAAAAACTCTTAAATTATAACTCAGCAATTTTTGTTAGACGTCCTATATAGAACTGCATGAAATTTATCCTGTTATTTTATAGGTCTGTATCAGAACATTGCTAACCAATCAGGTGTTTCGTAAAGCGAAAAGAGGTTCCTTTCGTAAAAGTGAAGGGTTTGTTGGGAAAGTGAACTTGATTGTTGTCTAGATTTACTGTAGCTTTATGAATGTATTAGTTAATTTATCTGTTCTTTTTTTGTGTGTTTCTCACTTTCATGTGTCTGCTACTATGATATGAATATTTTTATCATAGTTTTTACCAAAATAAACCAAACAAAACTGATTCGCTAAAGATCTCGGATATTTTGTGACAAATAATTAAATATATAATGTATGTAACATACAAAATGCTTTAGTGGTTACTATTTATATTCGCAATTGTATATAAAAATACTTTAAATAACAATGGAGAAAATCAAACGTCTAACAAACATTAAATACACCGTTTTCTAAGTCATATCAAATGAATGTGTATGTGATTCTATATCAGAGTTTCTGACTGCTATATTTTTTTACATTACTGTTTTCTAAATTTCTCCGACAGACGAAGAACCCGAAAAAACTGTCTTCCTCCTTCTAGACGGCGAAGAGTATGAGCTCACTCTGACATTGGTAGATCAGGAAACTCTTGCTTCTTTCTCGGTAATGTATTCCTACAGTTATCTAAATTATCTTCATTAGAATTGCACGCGCATACGATCTAGATGGGTTGGAATAGTATGTCTTTATTACCACACGTCTTCTTGATAATTTTCTACTAGCATTACCTTAGAGATTTATTTTCGCGATACTTCCGTTAATCTTAACATTTACATACTGGTGTTATTATTATTATTTTATATCATAAACCATGAAATACGTTAGAATTTTAAGACAAAGTTGTGGATGTGTCGCGAAAGTGTTGGAAATAGACCTTAAACAAATTCAAACAAAAATGTTCTCCACACTACTAAAATGGAGCTTTTTGCCAAGTTTACAATAACTCGTAGACGTCATGGAATTATATTATTGTTTAGTATAAATCCTGTATTTTTCCGCACTTCAAAAATGATCGAATTGAAACGCCTCCTGTAGACTTTTATAAAGTTATAAACAATAATTGAAGTTTTTAATGGTTTAATCTAATAAATATTACTCCTTGTAAAAAGTAATTATTGTTTGCTTGTTTTAAGCGCATGGCTGTGCATTGGGCTATGTGCGCTATGCCCACAGCAGGAATCGAATCCCGAATATTATTGTTATTAGCCCTCAAACTTATCGTTGACTCACGGGGGGGGGAACAATGATTATACAAGTAACTTCATCTGATCTGAAACACAAATTAATTTGATTGTTAAATTATAGTCTTATTTTGTAATCATGACGTAAAGAATTTCCTCTCAAAAATATTTTGGTATGTATTTGTCGAAATTATTACCAGACTTACAACAGCCAAAGCTTCTGTTAATCTCGTTAAAAATTGTATGTGTGTATGTATGTATATATATATATATATATATATATCTATATAATAAAAAAAATTTAGTCTACTCTCCAATTTATGATTATAAGCCCCCCCAGTGGCACAGCGGTATGTCTGCAGACTTACAAAGCTAGAATCCGGGTTTCGATACCCGTGCCGGGCAGAGCACAGATAGCCCATTGTGTAGCTTTGTGCTTAATTACAAACAAACAAAATGATTATAAGAGTTATATTTAAAAAGCTATCATGGTTGTAAATTAAAGAAAATAAATTGCTACACTTAGGTTAAGTTTTTAACATGACTTCTGATGGTGAGTTAGCAAAGAGGAACCAGCTTAACTGAGGCTGACTTTATTTCTCTCCTTTAAGATCACATTTGCTTCCGTTTAGCGTTATAAGCCCTCGAACTTATGGCTGAATCCCCATGAATGGGGAGGCTGCTTGAACCTCTAGAGGATTTTAATTTTGCTACACATAATCCACTGGTGAGAAAGTAGATGTTTTAGTTTTTTAATATATTCGTGCAGAAAGGTTCTATTGTCGGTTCTGAAAAATCACCGGACGTCTAAGAGAGGTGTTGTATTTTCACTGTGAAAACAAAAATAGAATACGTAAGGCGAAGTTTAATACAGAGTTTAAAAAGATATTACAAATCCATTTTTATGTGCAAATAGGCAGGTCAGCTGATAACCATAACCGATATAAAGTCGCTGTGAGACAGCATGTATTAGAACTACATTTTGTAAGTAGTATGGTGTCACCGAAAATTGATTGCATTTTTATCAAAAAGATGTATTCAGATCAGGGATTTAGGATTTCCAAGACGGAAATACCTCTTGTACTTAGTGGTATTGTAAAATAAAAGAATATTGGTCAACTTAGAGCACCAGACCCACTTAGAAAGGAACCTGCAAGAAGTTTTACCCTAGCTGTGTAAAGGAAAGTGTGGCGTCTTATAACAAGTGAGAATTAACGAATGAAGACGTCAGTAGCAAAAGCCGTCCACATGCCCAAGGCAAGAGTACGTAACATAATCAAAAGGATCTCTTCGGCTGGAAACGAGACCAAAGAATATATGTTCATCAAAATGAGGATATTCCATCATACGTGCCGTTCAACCGTCGCATATCTCAAGCAGCTGGAGATTGAAATGGGTATCAATGTTATTCAATACGAAGACTTACCTGTCATGTACCCGGATGCAGCGGCTATGTATATCTGCATGATCACACTGTTGGAATGGACAGCTGTGAAACTGTTTTCCTCGCACACTGTACAGATTATGGGAACATTTCAGGGAACAGTAGTGTGTCTTGAATATGACAGCCTTATGATGGAGTCTCTTGCAATGAAAGTACGCTTCAGGGCTATTTTCAAGGTGCATGGTTGTCATATAGAGCATAACTGGAAGTGGTGACATGAATCGTAACGAAATAGTGAAGTTCCAAAATGGTTTTAATATATCATACTCAAACTATCTATTTGTTCATAAACTTAATTGAGGGAATAGTTAAACAGAATATTATATTGTTGTTTCTTTTCAACTCAAAGTTATCTTATTAAAGATCACTGGTATGAAACACACTCGAGCGTCATAAATGAACATTTTGACAGCTTGTTAAACTTTACAGTTTTGTATTATATCAAGAAATCTCAGTGTTATTCATGATGTTATTCGATGAAATTTCAAGTTAGAGTTCTTAGATTATGTGATGTTAGTGTAAAGGGAAGTATTTTTGTTACTTAGATATGGTACCCTATAATAAAACGAATGTAAGAGGTATAATAGTGAAAAGAGTAATAAAGATCAATAGAAACGAATGAGGAGTAACTTGAACAGAAGAGTAATAAAGAGCATTAGAAACGAAGGAGGAGTAACTTGAACAGAAGAGTAATAAAGAGCATTAGAAACGAATGAAGAGTAACTTGAACAGAAGAGTAATAAAGAGCATTAGAAACGAATAAGGAGTAACTTGAACAGGAAGAACATATAGGTATCAAAGAATATGACCAAAGAATATCAACAATCTGAAAACGAGAGTAAACATGAAAAATACTTTCGGTTGGTTAGCTTGCTTCTGCAATTTTAAGAAGATAGATTAATTTTTTTGGCTGTTGTTTCTCTCGTTACTTTTTTGTAGTCGGTCTTTTTTTTATATATACACTGAGCACCTTTGTCTTTATTTACCTGCTAACATTATTTACTAGTTGAGCTGTTTGTTTTTAGATCTCTGAGAATGTTATATTAGAGATGTAGCCTTGAAACCCTGACCATACATCATTTGTCTGAACATGAGAATGGTGGGATGCTTCGTCTATTTGAACATGGAGAGGGCACTGTAATAAAACGTGTTTGGTCGATAATCTACAAGCACTTTACTTGTACACTTCAAATTCCTCGAAGTTTTTCGTTACAGTGAAGTCAATTCCGTTCTCATGACGGTTTTTCATTACCAAAACTGCTTGTGTCTTGGAATGGATTGATATGATCGGGAAATTAAAGAGTATGATAGATTAGTTCCAAAAACAAGGAAGCTACAATTTTGTATGTAATGTCTGCTCAAAAAAAGACAAATGATAATATTGTCTTTCTTTATAAGCTTTCACTTTGTCTCTTCGAATATAACCAAACATGCACGACATACCAAAGAAGCCCCAATATGGCTTATGTGCGTTAATCTCACAGTGAATTATACTTTCAGAGTTAAAATCGCATTTTGCATACCAATTCTGAGAAAAGGGCATTATCCAACATCCTATTCTTCAAATAATCAAGTTAGTTGTTTAAGGCAAAATCCTCGTGACTCGTTAAAACAACTTTGAGCACGTGATAAATGAGCCTACACTGCGCAAAACAGTTAAACGATATTCGTAATTTTTAATATTATGCGTATGAAAAATAAATTCACCTTTATAAAATAATGCTAATCGTAACATACACACTCACATATGCATACACATAATTCATTTCCTCGGGGAATAATACAAAATAAAACTCGAAAATTCTAAAATCTTATAATTATTTTTACTTTTTAATTTCTTACCGCTTTCGCATCTATGGATGCTACTCAGAGTAAAACCATAAACACAACAACCTAAAGCAACACAGAGAGAGAGAGAAGAAAACTGTACACAGACTATGGAATAAGAATGAGTTTAAGTTCTTAGACATTTTGTCTTTTATTACGTATGATGTTCTCGGATAATATTGTTTCAGTTGTAACTTTCCAATGAATCACAGAATTTAAAGTGCTCCAGATTTATAATGAACAGAACTATGTTTTGATCTCAAAGATGCCGCTTAGATGTTTCACTCATTTGGAGAGCCAGCATACGAAAAGAAGTTGGCCAGTCACAGTTAATACAGTTGTTGGAAACCTAGATAAGACAGATCATCATCCATAACACAAGCAGGCTACCGCTATATAACAATTTTGGGTCGCCATAATCTGATTTGAGACTGAATCAGATGTTCACAGCCGCAAATGTGCATCATGTCAGAGTACTGGCGGTTAGAAGCAGAATACGCAAGGCCAGACAATATGCCAGATCCACAATGGGATGCATTCAGCTCACAGAAAGACACAAAAGAGCTTGATTGCAGTGGTACCAAAAACCATCCAAGGGACCAATGAGGTGTTGATCAATAATAGTTTGACAGATTAGTTGCGCTGCTATATGAAGCCAAATAATACCTGTAGACTCATTTTGCTAGAATCTGAAACCGTATCCAATCCATTTTCATCCGTGCACGTAAAGCCTGCAATAGTGGTGGTAGCATATTTTGGCAGGAATAAGTTTTGGTGGATGCCGACATCTACATTATTAAGGACCATAATAAACAACCCTTTGTGCCCTCGTATGATGGTGCAAATAGTATTTGATTTCAGCTTAATGGGTTATAATGCCTGCCCCCCCCCCATCATCCTAAATTGGGCAACATATCTTTTGGAGAAAAAGGGTGTGACTGAATTGAGTGGCTTCAAGCTTACTGAACTTCAGTGCCATCGAGTATGTATCGGATTCTCTTCAGAGCCGCTTCACATCCCATAAAGTGACCATAGGAACCAAAGATGCGCTGGAAACATTTCTCTTCAAAGCAGTAACCGTAGGTATCTTGTCAGCACTTTTATTTTCATCATGAGATAGCTGCTGGTGCTATTCGTAGTGACTGTACTTC